TGTGCTGTTTAGGCAACCTTGAACCTGGTCCACATAGCGATACCATCTGTCGGGATGATCCAAAGCCAGCTTCGTTAGTATTGGTATAATGATCCTGACTCTCTCGACTTGGCCATTTCCTTTGAGTACTCCGGTGGGGATTTTGATGTGCTCTATATTCTCTGACGTAGTAGTTCCTATAAATTCGCCTGACGTGAATGCAGTCGATTGCTGATGATCCGTTGTGGGCTACCAAACGTCACCTGCTGCATCGTCAACTTAGCAGTCACCTCTTTCGCGTTCATCTTGGTAGGGTATAGCTATACAAACTTTGAGAAAGCATCAATAACCACGAATAAGTGTTTGTATTGCTTCGACGTTGATGTCATCGGGCCAAGATGATCGATGTGATACGTCGACAATGGTACATCTCCTTTCGGGGTAGGCATGAGCTCGCCTTCCGTTTTTTCCTTTTTTCTGCCCGCCAGAATGCATGGTACACAACAATTGATGAATCTCTGGAGCTTCTCTTTCAACTTAGGGATGTAGAAGTCCTCATTGATGCTTTCGGTCATCTTCTTTACACTGAAGTGTCCGTTTTCATGAGCTCTGCGAATGATGTCCATGTGCATACTGTTCAACGTCTTCCGGAATGATTCACAGTCTGTTACGATCTTAAACTTGATACCTTGTAGGTAGACTCGGAATTTCTTAAACGCGTTGACGATGGCGAGCACTTCCAATTCATACAACTGAAGCTTCTGCTCGGCATTCGACGTCTTGCGGCTCATATAGTAGATGAGGTGGAAGCTGTCGTCTACTGAGTCCTTCTGCAATAGAATTGCCCCGTATCCCAGCTGGCATCTGTATGAAGTTCCATGATTGCGTCAGGCTTGTAAATTCGTAGCACAAGCTCCTTCGACAATAACGTTTTCAACGCCTCTTCTTATGCCGCTCCGAAACCAAACCCCTTACTACCCTTCAAGAGATCAGATAATAGTCGAGCAATAATTGCGTAATCTAAAACAAATTTGCGGAAATAGCCTGTTAATTCAAGGAAACTTTGGAGATTCCTTCGACACGGGTCTCGGAAACTTCTGTACTACTTTGATTTTTTCGTTGGAGAGACGGACAAAGCCACCCCCGACAATATGTCAAAGGAACTCCACCTCTCGTTCCAAAAACTTGCATTTTTTCCAGTTGATCACCAACCCATTTTCAGCTGCGACTCTCAAGGTCTCACGAAGTCCGTACATTGCTTCCTCTTTATCTCTACCTAGTATGACAACGTCATCCAAGTACTTGCGGAGAATGCGTCTCCCGATGAGTTCATAGAAAACTTCATCCATGAATATCAAACATTCGATTGGACTGTTTGATTGGACACAGGCCAAATGGGGCAAACAGGAAATCATATTGTCCGTCAGGCGTCACAAAGGACGTGTACTGTTGACTGTCTTTCGCAACTGGGACGTGGAAGAAGCCATTCTTCAGGTCGATCACCGAGCAAACTCGGGCTGAGGCCAGATCATCGATACAGTCTTCAATCAACGGCGTTGAAAACTGGCCTCGAATAATCTTCTTGTTGATTGGACGATGAACAATACAGACGCGATAAATTCCGTCTTTTTTCTTCACGAGTACAACGGCACTCGAATATGGACTTCTACTGGGCTTGATGATACCGTCCCTCAACCATTCGTCGACTTGCTTCTGTAGGATCTGTTTTTCTTGTACTGACAGTCGTCGTGGTTTGGCACGAACGAGTTCTTGATCTTTCAGCACGATCCTCATCTCAACTTTGGGCCGCACCGGCTTGAAATCGTCTATCAGCTTCTTGATCTGTTCTGCGTAAGGTCCTCGAACACTGATTTCAGAGGGCTGGACGTAGTTGATTGTAGACAATCCACATCGCTCCCATTCTGCACTGATCTCATCGCCATCTTCGTCTTTGGGTCGGTTACATGGTAAACACTCTCCATCCTTGACTTTGTGCGTGGGTGTTCCATCACCGATTGCCGTTATCTTCCGGATTGTTGTTTGTCCACCGAAAATACGGATATCCATCTGTTTGGGTAAATCTTTCCCCATGAGCATTTTCGTGTCCATAGTTTCGACTGGAACAACATATACTTCGTTGCAATAAACTTCATCTTGAATCGTCAACTCTGCATCAAAGACGCCTTTCGCCTTGCTTCGCGCGTTTCCAAATCCTCTAAACAAGCGCACCGTCGGTTTTAGCGTAGGACTGCCGATCTTCACGTATTCGTCGTCCCGTAGAATACTTTTGGAACTGCCTGTATTCAATATAGCTAGTGTGTCGGTACAGTTAATTTAAATCGTCTTCCTGATTAACGATGTTCCAAGCAACTTTTTTAAATTTGAATCGCGATTGTCTCGTCGTCAAACGTCACTCGGTTGATTTTTTTATCTTTCTTGCTTGTCTTGGCTGGCTGTTCGCAATTGCTTGAAACATGTCCGAACTGGTCACATCGGAAGCACTTCGGTCCTTTGTCTTTGTGGGGACAGTTCTTAACTGCATGATCCGGTAAAACAATCCACATGCAAAACAATAAGCCTACTTTGTCGCCGATTGCTTCGAGTCCTTCTTTTTCTTCGCGTCTTTCTTATCTTTACTTGGTTCGCCCTTTGCATCAGCTTTACCTGCTGGTTTTTTCCGGCCTGATTTCTCGCGCTTGCGGTCATAAAACTCCAGATTCTTCTTCACCTTGTCGATTGTTCGTGAATTGTACAAAATCTGCTTGTTCACTTCGTCATCCGGAATGCCGTCAATAATGTATTGGATAAGGTCCTCGTCTTCTACACGGCCTTGATTCGCAATCGTTCGCATAGCATACATGTATTGACGCGGGGTTTCGTTGGCTTGACGCTTACGTTTCTGCAATTAAGTGTGGATGGTCGCGCTATTAACCTCCACTTCGAATTCTTTAATGAGACAATTTTTGAAAGCTGCCCACGACACCAGCCTTCGCTGTAAGGCAATGAATTGTTTCGCCGATCAGCGAAGCATCTTTTTCCCGTAAATTACCTTCTGTAAATCACTCCATCGCAACAGGATGCTCGTATCTTCGAACTCCTCAATCCAATTTTGGAAGGTCATCTTATCGTCGCCGATAAAAGTAGGGATACTTCCTTCAACGTCTTTAATAGTAAATGCACTCACCATGTGATTTACTTGCGTCATTTCTTGCTCACTTGGCGCACCGTGCCGACGATTTGCTCGTACTCACGTTTTATCTTGAGCTTTCTCCTGGTCTTTTTGACTTTCGCTTTCCGATAATTGTGACCCGCCGGTCGGTTCGCTTCGGCGAGTTATGACGTCTCGTCTGTCGACGTGTGGTACTCCCCAGTAGCTGCGAATTGCGCTGTCTTTGATCCTGAGCCCGGTGCCCCACTGTCTGTTGACTAACCTCTTCGTCGTCGCCGCTGTCATCTGTTGAGTCGATCTCCGATCCATCGACATCGTCGTCTATTGCTTTTTGCAATCGATCTAGTAGGGTCTTCTTTTTCCCTACTATTGATAGGGAGAAGTGGGGGACATTGATACGATTTTTTTCAAGAGTTAAATAAATAACTTTGCAGATAGATTTAGATAAATGTAATAGGTTAAATTTAAAGGCTTGTCCTTCTACTTACGTGTTTTGATTGCTTTTTTGCTGTAGGTTAATAATAAAAAGTGTTATAACATTTTTTGTAAACAGCAACAACTGTGCCGCAAGCAACACGTAGAACTACGTCAACTGTCACTGATGATGATTGACGTGATCAAGGAAGGCCAAGGCTCACACCGGGCTGTAGCGCCGAGTTCATCATCAGTGACAGTTGACGTAGTTCTACGTGTTGCTTGCCACACAGTTGTTACTTGCCCATTTTTTGTTTTTTTGTTTTTGTTTGTTTTTTTGTTTGTTTTTTGTTACTTTTGTTTGTTTGTTTTTTGTTTTTGTTTGTTTTTTAAGCAACAACGTAGAACTACGTCAACTGTCACTGATGATAAACTTGGCGATACAGCCCGGTGTGGGCCTTGGTCTTCCTTGATCACGTCAATCATCATCAGTGACAGTTGACGTAGTTCTACGTGTTTGCGGCACAGTTGTTACTGTGCTTGTTTGATTTTTTCAAACATAAATTTAGCATGAGCGAATGAAAGTGTGTGTTTGTGTGTGTGTTTATGCGTGTAAATAGAGGTATGCGTATACATATGCATGTGTGCAAAAAATTTAGCTTTGTTTTCTAGAACGATTTATGCTTAAATAGGGTATAAGTTATACATGTATTCTTATATATCATCATTAAAGAAAAGTTGGTATTGAATTTGGCTAACAATAACACTACCCAAATGTAAATCGCCGATTTTGATAATTTTTGAATATATTTTAGTAGACGTATTGTTAGTAGGAGGTAGCAGCTCATTTCGCACAATTACAAGCTCGTCTTTCGCTAAGTTAGCACAGCTCTGTTGCCACTTTGTTCGTTGCTGTAAGGTATGCAGATAGTCTGTTGACCATACCTTCCAGAACCGTTCCTGTACGCGACGCACCCGCTGCCAACAATCAAGTCTGCCCTCAGATAGATCTAGCACTGACTCTTCCGGTACAGATATCAATGGGCCTTCAATCAAAAAATGACCAGGAGTGAGAGAGGAGAGGTCAGTGGGGTCATCAGACAAGGCAACGATAGGCCGAGAATTCAAGCAGGTTTCTATTAGCGTTAAAAAAATTGTGAACTCTTCGACGGAAGGAGTGTGAGAGCCCATTATTCGTTTCAGGTGATGTTTTACGGACTTAACTCCCGCTTTCCACAAACTTCTGAAGTGCGGGGCAGAGGGAGGAATAAATTTCCAAATTACGTTGTCGGTAGCCAGATAGGCTTCTAGATTCGTATCGCGAGAGAGTACTTTAAAGACCCGGGCCAGTTCACGGTCGGCTCCGTGAAAATTGGTTCCGTTGTCGCTGTAAAGTACCGAAGGAAGACCACGCCGAGCCGAGAATCGTTTGAGGGTGGCTAGAAAAACGCTTGACAAATAGTAATTTACCAACTCGAGATAAATCGCGCGAGTGGATAGTGCAATATATGCTTTATATGTTTTATAGAAAAAACAAAATCGCTAGAATGCCAAAAGAAATTGCAAGTTACTTGAATTTATTAGAACCCGAATTGTATACCAGTCATAGCTTCCGAAGGACGTCGGCGACGTTATTGGCTGATACTGGTGCAGGTATAACAAGCATCAAGCGTCATGGTGGTTGGAAATCAACCAGTGTGGCGAAATATCAAATATTATAGTTACTAAAATTAATATTGTCCTATTTTATTTAAAACGAATAAAAATTTACAATTTATTTACAGAATATATTAAAAAGTTGATAAACAATAAAAGGAATATTGCAAATATTATCACATCATCAATAAATTTACATGAAACTATTGCAAAACAAAATCCTGAGTCCGAAGAACCGCCAATAAAACAATCGAAACTTGGAATAAATGTTAATGCATCAACATCAAAAAGCTCCGACTGCATTATGATTGAAGATGAATTTAAATCAACATTTAAAATAAAAAAATCCAGGAAATAATCCAATCTTCTAATTTTAAAATTGTAATGTAAATATTAAATTCATTAACTAATAAGACTTTTTTATTGTAATTATATTAATTTTTATAAATAAAAAAATAATTACTATTTCAAAAATTATTTGTATTAAGACTACCGATTTGAAACTGTTTTTTTCTTAATAATATATCACTGAATAATAATATAATTAAATATACTTATTTACATAATCCCTAAATAAAATCTCAAATTGTCAATCAGATTTAGTGCAAAAATTAAAATTATTTTTTTTTCGATTTTATTGTCATTCAAATTTTAATTTTGTGATAAGTGGGGGCTTCGCTCCTGGATCCCACCAAAGGTTTCGCTCTTGAATCCTGTATTGCTCTCTTTTTCTCTTTCTATTTAATGATACGCGCGTACAAACTGTATGAATGAAACACTAAACGCACACACTCTATAGGCATTTTTAAAAATCGAACATTACCGTATAAGACATCTTTTAGACATCTAAGGTCCCGCTTTTGGACATGTGTGCTTTATGGGTTCACACTCGTATGAAAAACGCAGCTTTTTCCTCTTGGTAAACAATATACTATTCTTTACAAATTATGGAAAACATTATAATTCCCATGTTGATGCTTTTGAAATTAAAGAGTCAACCGACGCTGAAAAGATAAAAGTTCATTTTTCACAACTGGTTAAACATCTTCCCCGCCTCTGATGTACTAAATTTTGCAAACACAAAACTTTCATTTTTTGTACTAATTTTTACAAATAAAATTTTTTACAAAATTTTAAAATTGCTTTATCTATTTTCCTGGCCTGGAGTTTTTTGCAAATACAAATTTGCTTTGTTTGTTCAAACAAATAATCCCAATATTTGGTATTGCTAAATTGGATTTTTTGTTTTTTTAAACAAAATATTTAGTTCCACATACCTATATATTCTTGCAACAAAATTATTTTGTTTTTCTAACAAAAGTATTTGTTTGCTTGTATAGAAACAAATAATTTTTGTTATGTTAACTAAAATTTGGTTATTCCAACTATATGCGTTTCTCAGTATGGCAAACGGGGAAAACAAGTATTGCACAGTCAAAACATAATCTCAACGTGACGTACATACAGTATTGGAGCTGCCATCTAATAAAGTTTCTCAGAGATAGGTCGTCCATTGATAAATTTCGATAATTCAACCCCTTTATTTCATCAATCTGTTGACGATTAAAGTAATCAACACTCGATTGATATATTAACTATTTGTATAGTCATCCAGATGAAATTTATTGTTAGTTTAATTTTATCAACATGAGAACAATCTTCTCTCGCATTTACCCTCAGCGGGAAAATTCTAAAGCAAGTGTTTGATTTACACATTGCAGAATAAACCCTAGTATAATAAACACAAACGTACGATAGTTTGACATTTTGAGATTCCGCGAGATGACGACAGTAAACAGAATTGTATCACGCCTCTTATTCTATCCAGTTCGTATGTAAGATATTTATTGGCGATAAAAGCTAGCTGTCGATAAAGAATGGAGAGAATTCTATATCAACCCTTATTTGCCAAGTTTAATATAATCGCTTAAAAACTTTCAGTCAACTCGAAAAATAATATTTGATCGGTATTGGCATCGACATATTAATCAAATTTCTATTCTTAGAACTTCAAAACATAAATCTGAAAAATGTCTCGAATTTTAAAGTTCTATAAAAAGTGTTCTCAATATGTAGAAAAACAGAGCTCTCCTTAATAAAAACTAAATAGACATATATTTTAAAGAATTGAAAATATA